GCAACTACTATTCTACAAATACTTGATTTTTATGTACTCATTGATAAAGTTTTAACTATCACCTTAGATAATGCTTCTGCTAACACAACCGCAGCAACTAACTTAAAAATTAGACTTTGTCCAATTAATCCAGCAATTTTTCATGTTAGATGTGCATGCCATATTTTTAACTTAGTTGTAAAAGATGGTATTAATTTACTTTATGATGCTTGTAGTAAAATACAACATGCTTGCGGCTATATTTTCGTGATAATAAAGCGAGTAGACTTCGTAAATTTGCTCAACAATGTGCTAGTGCTAACCTTTCATATAGAAAAATTCCCAAAGATGTTTGTACTAGGTGGAATTCTACTTATGAAATGCTTAAAGTTGCTTATGATTATCGGGTGCCTATATAAAAGGTATTTACTATGCATAATGGTATCCCCGCGGATCAAATTGTTGATTCTGATTGGGATGAGATCAAAGAGCTTACTAAATTTTTAGAAAAATTTTATTATGCTACAAAATAATTTCGGGTATATATTATCCTACTGTTACACAAATATTATGGTATATTTGTGAAATTTCTGTTGTATTTGGTAAGTATAAAACAAATCCAACTTATGCACCTGCCATTAGTGAAATAATTTTAAAATTTAAAAAGTATTTTTTCCCTATTCCCCAAGTTTATTTAATTTCTATTCTACTTAACCCATCTTTAAAATTAAGAGGTGCAAAGAGACTTGTTCGTAAAATTTATGAAAATTTAGCAATTCAAGAAAATGAACAACCATCTCTGGAAGACTGCCAAGCTAACATATATTCTTATGCTAGATCAATGTTTGATAAATATAAATCTATGGAAACAACATGTGGTGAAACTGCTCCTTCTACTTCTAAGTCTAGAGCAGAAGTTCTATGAAGATATGGATGATATAACATGTTTTGATTCCTCTATAGATGATGAACTTAATTCTTATCTTAACCAAGGATTGGAAATTATTAAAGACGAAGAAGGCAACGAACAACTTTTGGCCTTGTGGAGGGAGCGTGGCAAGGCTTTTCCAACACTTTCAATAATGCCCGAGATATACTGGCTATTCAAGCATCATCAGTAGCATCGGAGAGTGTTTTTAGCGCGGCAACCATCTCTGGAAGACTGCCCAGCTAACATATATTCTTATGCTAGATCAATGTTTGATAAATATAAATCTATGAAAACAACATGTGGTGAAACTGCTCCTTCTACTTCTAAGTCTACAGCAGACGTTCTATGGGAAGTATGGATGATATAACATGTTTTGATTCCTCTATATATGATGAACTTGATTCTTATCTTAACCAAGGATTGGAAAGTATTAAAGACGAAGAAGACAACGAACAACTTTTGGCCTGGTGGAGGGAGCGTGGCAAGGCTTTTCCAACACTTTCAATCATGGTCCGAGATATACTGGCTATTCAAGCATCATCAGTAGCATCGGAGAGTGCTTTTAGCGTGGCAAGATTTCAGATCTAAAATCATAGACATTCATTAGCGGAGGACAACCTAGAGATTTTCGTATTATTTAGAGATTGGATTAATTCAGAAAGAAGAAATCTTGATTTTGAAAAACTAACCACTAGGGAAGAAGAAGAATACAATGAGATACTTAGCACTGGGAGCGATGACAGCATGGAGCTCATAGAACATCAATCAAAATTGCCAATTCCAGAACAATGCCCGAGAGAAATTATAGATAAGTTACAAAGAAGCTATATAGGAGCTTACAAATATTAGTATGATAATTTGTAATTGGCTACTAAGAGGCCTAGTTCAAACAAAACCATTCCTAGAAGGTGGCTGCGTAGATTAGGTTGCTCTTCAAAATAATTATATTTTGTACGTGAGATTTGAAAGTTCTATTAATAAAATAAAAGGCTCTAAGCATTGAATTTTTTTTTATGAATTGTCTTACACTCTTACTTAGCTACTTAATAGCTTGAAATTATACAAATAAATTATAACTCTATTATATTACTAGAATATTTCATTACTAGTCTTTTGTTTTAATATTTTATAATTCTTTACTTAGTTTCCTAATTTCCGTTTTAACATTTAAGTTTATTAAATAAATCAAAAAATTAGCCGTTGCAAATTTTAAAAACTTAGTCATTGCCAAAAAACTAGTCGTTGCCAAACTTAATGCTTAAATATTTTTTTTTAAAAAAATGACTCACTTAAGGCCCGCCATCTCGTCCCATCCCGTTTGTTAGCGGGATGAGATGGGCCTACCGTTTCGTCCCGTTTATTCCGTCCCTTTTCATCCCGTCCTACCACTGTCCCGGCTAAATATCGTCCCGTCCCGTTAATTTTGTCCAGTTGGACAGCCATATCTAGATTATTAAATTCGACAAGTTAAACTCTAGGTGTGAAATATGAAACTTTGACTTTTTCAATGGCAGCGCCGGAAAATGGTCCGTGGGCACTATTTTTACCAAATTTCCCAACTTGTCCGAAAGAACAAGATTCTCAAGCCATTTCGGGAATTTGCTTTCTTTGGGCCGATAAAAGGAGCCTGATAGGCAGGCCCAGCTAAAGAGTAGAGCCTACAAAATAGCACTTGCTCTACCATTCGGCCCGCTCTTTTGCCTCCTTCCTTGAAACCCTAGTAAGTGCTCTCTCCGCAACCTCTCTTTCTTGGTTTTGGGTTTAAGCTAAATTGAAAAGGTATTTTTGTTGATTGTATACAGGAAAGTGTAACTGTAGAGTAAAAGAGCAAAAATGTCGGACAAAACTAAAGGAAGAAAAGAGGAAGTGGTTACTAGAGAGTACACCATCAACCTCCACAAGCGCTTGCATGGCTGGTATGTATTATCTTTTTATTCTTAAGGATTATTTGGCTTAGGATTCTTATTAATCCTGATTTGATATTCAGTTTCATAGTCTGAATCAGTGTTTGGTTATTGTGCCCAAATCAGATCATTTATTAAATAAAATATCAAGTACTAAATGTAATAAAGCTGATTAATTTTGTCTGTTTTATGATTATCTTTTATCTAATCAAGCTGAAGAAATCAGGCACTTGATCATCAAGCTATGTTATTTTCATTTTCAATTTTTAGTACCTGACTTTTGCTAATCCGTTTATGTGTATGTAAATGTATGATAGAATGGGGGATTTTTGAGTTTTACAGTATGATGTTTAGTTCAGATACCCAAGGAAAGAAACTAGGTTGCCCTTGTGTGCTTGCATGAGCAAAGTTTTACTAAAAATTGATGAACTTATAATAAAATTTGTAAAATAGTGGAAAAGAAAATCTATGAATGGAATTGAAAGGCAATAAATTAAATACTCTCACCTAGGAGCTTTTAGGAAGATAATGTTGACATGCTTCAATATTGTTATACACCAAAATCACTTTTTTCAAGCATAATTATCAGTTATTGATTTAGCTGAGTAGAATGTGTGAAACAGAGAGTCTAGGTACAGTTTGATTTTTTAGCTTCTGTCAACCAATCAAAGTACCATTATTTCACAATGTTTGGTATGGTTGTAATTTTTCTATTTCTAAGTTGTTTGAACGGAGTGTTCATATTGAAAGTAGCAAAAAGTGAGCAAATAATAGGAGCTTCTAGTTTTCAGCTTGTTCAATGAATATAATTATGTGATGCAAAACCTTATTCTGTGAGCAGCTTGGGACCCAATTACTGACGTATAAGTTCAAACTTGCATGCTACAGAGTATTTCCTTGCCTCAATTGCTCTGTTAGCAAAAGTTCCCAAATTGGTCAAAAGAAAAAATCTTTTACAGTGAGTGGGAGTGGAGGGGGTGAACTTATAGCACAAAACTCTAGACCAAACGAGCAGGAGCTGAAATTTGAGACCCATAAACATAGCATCATAACCTTTCAAAAGGAGTAATTTGGAAGATAGTGTTACATGAGAAGTTTCATAAGTTAGTGGCTGTTCAAGTAAAAATTATGCTGTGAGCGGACTGCCTAACTATAGATTATGTTTTGTTAATAGCACATTCAAGAAGAAGGCCCCTAATGCTATCAAGGAGATCCGGAAGTTTGCACAGAAAGCAATGGGAACAAAGGATGTCAGAGTGGACGTTAAGCTGAACAAGCACATCTGGAGCAGGGGAATCAGAAGTGTTCCAAGGAGGGTCAGAGTTCGTATTGCTCGCAAGAGGAATGACGATGAAGATGCAAAGGAGGAGCTCTACTCTTTGGTTACAGTAACTGAGATCCCACCAGAGGGATTGAAGGGGCTTGGCACTAAGATCATTGAGGACGAAGATTAAGCTATCTATCAGTAGTGGAGAATGATAAAAAAAAATACATGATGCTTTTGTAATTCTTTGAGACTGATCAATTTTGTTAGGAAACTTAATTTTGTTTTTTTGGATCATCCTCTTTGCCACCAGTTTAATTGAATCATCTTTTCTGTTCTTCATGGTTTAAGTATCACTGTAGTCATTACGTTTTGTTATGTTATTACTTGTTGTTGCTTTCGTTTCTGATTATAGTACCTGCTACCTACTGTTAGTTTTGTATTTTTTCTTCGGTTTTCCGATTGGTATGCTTGTTGTTGTCCTTTTACCTTTTTTGAGTCGAGGGTGTATCGGAAACAGCCTCTCGGCCTTCTTGAAGGTAGGGGTTAAGGCCTACGTAGACTTTACCCTTCCAAGACCCCACTAGTGCAATTATACTGAGTGGTGGGTGCCGGCTGTAGTCATTACGTTTTGGCTGCTTATCGTAGATTTGGATATGTTCTCTAATGGGTTAGTAATTGCATGCTTTGAGAATCTCTTGTAACAGAATCTACAAGTTTGGTACATAATTACAGCTTAAACTCGTATATGGAAAAATTTCTTCAATATCATTTCTGTAGTCTTCATTTTAAAACCGACACTCAGCCCTTATTTTCCAGGCTAAGGTGAAGTAAAATGAGCAGAAATTTGAGCAAAGATGTGTAGATTGTAGCAACTACAGCCCAGACAACCAACCATATGACTCTTGCTTCAACTTGGTGGTCACCAACAACAAAATTAACTTCTTTGCTTAAATTGATCTTGCACAAAAGAACTAGCTTGACTGTTACACATTGGTCTTTCATTGTAAAAGTATAGTTCGGCTACTCAATAACATCTATTTTCTCAGACAAAATCAATTAACATTCAGGAGGAAGTATCTTATTACAATCAGATAACCGACCTATATTTGCAGATCTTAGCAGACAAGTTCATGTACAAAGAGCCCAGTGAAGTCGTGAATCACAATAAGAAGTAACCTGTGCGAGGAACAATAACATGCACAGAAGTCACCATTTTGTTGATTGGCATTTAGCAGCTTTGCTACCATCATTGAGGTAATGTTGGAAAGTCTGAATAACTTCCTCATATGTTGGCCTCTTGTAGTCTACGGCCTGTTATCAGAAACACAAGGTTCCCAAGTTAGATTTTTGACATGCATAAAAGTGTAGAGAGAATTATAGCTGCTAGCCACTTCGCCAAACACCTGCTCAATTACTTCTTCAGGCCTTGCCCATTTCCACTCTGAGAATTCTGCCTCTGCTTCACCAGTCGCTAAGTTGATCTCACTTTCATCGTTGGTAAATCTCATAAGAAACCTGCCAGTCACAAAATTATTTTCTTAAACCAAGTTTAAGTTACAAACAGATATCTAACAATAGCAGATATGTGTCATTTTGGCAGAAAACTAGACAAAGGTTATGGAATACAATTGTTTATATACTTCTCTTGTTTAATGAGAGGTGAATCCAAATCATACAACAACAACAATAACATCAAACCCAGTGGGCAGGGGCAGATTTAGGGAGGCAAAAGCCGGAAAATTGTACTGTATATATAAGGCAAAATCTTTTTTTTACCTCTATATATTATGTTTTGAATCCCCTTGACATAGCCCAAAAGGATAGCTAAGTGATCAAGGGGGTTCAAAACCTTTCTGAGGTCATTGGTTCAATTTCCACTAGCTACAATATCTCTTTTATTTTTTTTAATTTTTTTTTTGAACCCTCTTAGCGGAAATCCTGTCTCCGCCCACAAGTGGAGTCTGGGGAGGGTGGGTAATGTGTACGCAGACCTTACCTCTACCTTATGAAGTGGAGAAGCTATTTCCGATAGATCCTCAGCTCAAGAACAGTTAAAGGAAGCAATAACCAATTAATAGCAACAACAAGGTAAAAGACAGCGGCGAATCCAAATCTTAATCAAGTGAAAAGCAGCACTGATACTATTCATTTAACCAAAGTAATTGCCACAGTTGAACCACTAATTTGAAAGAAATTACGCAGAATCCTCATTTTACAAAAGCAGAACTGCAGAAGTAGGAAATCCAGACCTAATTGCAGGCTGTTGCTTTACCATTACCGATACCCCAAGTTCATTGCTGACCCTTTAAGTAATTAATCCATTAGCTCCCTAGGCCACAGATCCTTAAATTGTCTTGACCTATCTGTATCGAATGGGTGTGAAACGTCGTAGAGTACGTCTAAGAAAATCTTCAAAATATACACAAAATTAGAAACAAAACTAGATGTACCTATGGGATTTTTGTACACACTCTTACCAAATACACGTACATGTTCCCGAGTCCATGTAACATAGTTAGCCTCTGGTAATACAGGAAATATTTGAATTAAACTACATCGGCTCCCAAGTCCCAAAATGAGTACAAGACATACCTATTGCTATAGCACTCCATGCTTCTTTAACATGGATGAAACTCCTTACTTAGGGTGACATAATTCACCAGAGGATAGACTAAGAGGTAGCTCCACTTAAAGGAGAAATTTTCCTAATACCTTTTCTAGTGCATTTGAGCGTGACTGATTCAGAATATAATTTAGGATGTAGGTTATCCCGAAAGGACCATTATTTTTCTCCTGACATGGGACTTGTTAGCATCATTTCACAATGTAATTGAGGACATAGAGCAGTGAACTATCAACACTATGCTCAGGTTGCACAATTTTCCTTTCACATCAAATTTTAAGTATTACTACAATTTGATATGAGTAACAAGAATGACATAATTCCATATGACCATCTATAAGTATTACAACATATTCGCATTGACTAGAGTGTTGCACAACCAGGAAAAAACAGTTCCTAAAGCATATGAAAAAACCCCAGTGTGAGAAAGTCAACAGCTTTTCAGCTAGACTACCCTCATACCTATTACTTTGTTAATTCCAAGTTAAGACTAAATGAATTTGACCAAACTGGAGTTATTAGGAAACAGTTCAAATTTGATGAAAATTAAGTACATTTAACTTTTTTTTTAAACAAATAGTCGTTCGTAGATTTTAACTCTAGACCATTAAATCCACTTCCAAAGGAAATCCACCGACATTTTACATTTCAGTGACATACCGAAACATTTCAAATATGAAGGTGGAAAATATTCAGTAGGGAACAAGAGTGATGATGAAATAGTTGATATCAGAGGAAGCACTCCCACTTAACTGTAATCTTTTCTATGCAAATCACAAGAAAACCAGATTTCTAATGAATTCGCATACATTTAAGTACTGAAGAATGAAACCTGACGGTCGTTTTCCTTCAGAGAATAATTCGTTCCTTTATCACCTATGCGTTTTCAGTAATACCTTTCAGACCAACCAAAGCCCACAGCCAAAGGAAACTACAACGAGTGTTATGTTTTTCCAGTGTGGACCTGTGGAGAAAGAGGACAAAATCTACGAGATGCATGTGAATAGAGGAGAGGGAGAAAGAGAGTGAATGGACAAGGACTAAATGGAGCTCACTCACCCATACAGCAATTTGATATCATTGCTCCATAGAGAAAGTATGAATAAGGGATCATATAAGATTTGATGGAGCAAGCATAAGTGGCTCGCAGGAAACAAGTCGTTTATGGCCACAATGTTCCCCTTAGCTCTCTTTTGAAATTCATTTCCACAAATTTTTATGATTGACAAGCACAATATTCCCCTTGGAAGTATACTTAACAAAAACTTATTCAACTTGATACACATTAAAAGAATAAAATATTAGCTTATCAAAATACCATACGGTACCTACCATTTCTGTGCCTGTCCATGCCATTCTCCTCCCCAAAGACGGCTTACTTTGGCCTTTACAGCTGGTGGAAAGTCATAGGTTAACCACTGCGGGACCTGACAATATGAAACCACCTTTATAGATAAACGAGTAATCATTTGATGAATCTAATAGTTTGGAACCTACCAAAGTTTCATGTTTTCGCAGGATAAATATTTTGGGGATCCTAGGGAAGTTAATATTTAACATGACACAACCTTGACATACTATCCAAAGAAAGAAACTTTTCACTTTAAACAGACCTCTGCAATTATTTCAGCTGATATTACTCCAGTTTCTTCACGCAATTCCCTAATGGCAGCAGATCTTGGGTCCTCTCCATCTTCAATGCCTCCCTAACTCCGCAAGAATCAAATAAACCCCATAAGACAGCTAAATTATACAAGCACAGCTAAGAATTCATTGAGTGACTCTAGTTGATAAATATTATAATCCATGTGTTAGATTGCCAAAATGCTAGGCAGCTAACTAGGTGCCACAAGTTAGTTTGAACAAACAGTGGGTAGATAAATTTTGGCTGATAGCACGAGGCAATTTTCACTTAAGGATCAGAAGTCCAATGCTACAAAAATTCCTGCTTTCAAATATTAATAATCAAGGCTAGACAATGATTCTATTCCTAGCCAGCTGACATTGAACCACCTTCAACAGCGAATAAATAATTTGAACGTTTGAGAGTAAGGAAGATACTAATAGCAATTAACCTGTGGCATTTGCCATGCTCCAGGAACATTCAATCTGGAAGCCACGAAAACCTGCAAATTGCATCACGACCATATAAATGCACAGTTTCTTACCTATTTATTTACTTAGAGCAGATAACATTCCGCCATAACAAGTTCCATTAATAAAAATTTCAGGGAGAAGTGAAAATTATTATCTTATTATGATTATGTATATTGAATAAAGGAAGACGCAAAAAGAGGAAGCAATAAAATGAAATTTCTGGGTGCTAAGTCTCAACCCCTAAAGCAGCTAAGAGGCAAGATCATATAAGGAAACCAAAGGACCACACCCTCACAGATGTGGAATATCCAACAATCAAATACTCTAAAAAGGTAATCAACACTGAGCCGTTTAAGGTGAGAAAATCAGAAGTTCATCAAAATGTTGAAAATGTCATTAGTCATGAAACGTACAAGATGGAAAATATAACAATATATCTATTGGCAGAAATATAGTTCTTTCCCGTCTATGTGGAAGTACTAACCTTGTCTATGGAACACTAACATAATGACAACCAGTGGACTCCTTTTCTCCACTGTCATTCCAAGAACACAGACAAGATTAAACCAGCTCAAATCTACCTCAACTCTAACATTATTGTGCAGGTTCGTCGCACCTATTGTTCCCTATTTTCCCTCTTTATGTTTTCGGGCTTGTTCTAATTTTAGTCCTTTGTTTTTAGCTCCTATTTGACAAATCAGAAAGCTAAAACTACCTAGTTCTACAAGTCATAATAATTATCGACATCAAGTAAAAGTGCTCTCTTTTAGCATCCCTTACAAGATTTCTTTTTTCTTCATAGGAGATTAGATTTAGATGCAGGTTAGACCAATAGACAATCACTTTTTCTACCATTTAACAAACATCAATATCTCAAATATCCCAACCAACAAAAAAATCTCAAATTATCACCCCTTTAATTTAACAGCTCCATTACTGATTTAATCCTTTCCCTTGCATTTTTAGTATAAGCACCAGTGATGATTCTCAAATCAAACCTATAATCATGAAACTTAACTTTACCAACGCGATAATAATTCCTTAGATCCAAATAGAGAAAGCAACCTCCACTTCCAACCAAGAGGTTGTGAGTTCGAGTCTCCCCAAGAGCAAGGTGGGAAGTTCTTGGAGGGAAGGATGCCGAGGGTCTATTGGAAACAGCCTCTCTATCCCAGGGTAGGGGTAAGGTCTACGTATACACTACCCTCCCCAGACCCCACTAAGTGGGATTATACTGGGTTGTTGTTGTTGCAGTATCCAAATAGAGAAAGCAACATTCAAATTAGCCATAAAAAAATCAAAAAGACTTAAAGCCCAAAAACAATACAATAAATCTTGATGAGATGGTAATTCTATACCAATAGTACATCAAATGATTCGCTGAGGCTGAAAAAAAAAATATCAAATTTTAATCAAGATAACTAACTGGAAATTCCAACTAATAAGAAACCTATAAATGGTCAATCCCAGAACCAGAAACCAAAGCAAACAAATCAGCTATCAATAAAATTAAGTTAGAAAGGCAGCAGCTTTATTTATAGAGTAGTAAATGAAAGGAATAATTCAATAAATGTTTAATAAATGATAGGGAAAAGGAAAAAAAAGGTACCAAATGATCGTGGTTGATGAGACAAATACCAACGTTGGGACGATAACCAGAGGGGAGGCCCTCCATTGAAGCTGCTGCACTCGGATATATTGTCTTTGTACAAATGTTTTCTCACAGAAAGTCAGAGAGAGAGAGAGAGAGAGAGAGAGAGATCACTATCAGAAATCAGAAGAGCAATATGATAAAAGTCAAAGCTTTGTACTACTAGAATTTAAAAAGAGTTTATGCATTTTGCTCAAAGGAATGGGGTGATGATGACGCTGTGTTTCACTATTTCTCGGATATAATTTCTTTTTTATATTCATAATTTGCTAATCCAACTAATTAGGATATTATATATCTCATAATATTCTTGGTGGTTTCATTAAACTAGTAGTCGTACCCGCGCGATGCGCGATCAATATTAAAAAAAAATAATTAAATTATAAGCATTTTTGTTTGATACTATTAGACCGTATTGCTTTAATAAATTTCAATTGTCATTTTATTTATCAAGACGATATACCCAACCCTCACTGATATTTGAGTAGTTACTTTAGGTAGTTTATTTCTTTGTTAATTTTCAATAAATATTTTTTTTGTTATTAACTAATTATGTCATGTGGCTTTTATCTAGGCTACCACTTGTATTAATGTGGTGCCTTTTTCTTTGGCTTTTAATAATATATAGATAGATTATTAGCATATTACTTGTTTAATATTTTTGTCTGCTATTTTTTTGTAATATAATAGAAGATACATATTTTATTACTCTTGAAAATATATATTTTTTATTTTAAATTTTATTATAATTTTCTCAATAATATTGTTTAAATTTTAATGAATAGATATACTTTTTATTTCAAAAAATAAAAAATAAAATGATTTTAAAAAATGAAATAAAGAAATTAACTAACCTAAACCAACTCTCCCCCATGTTTTAGTAGTTAATTTAGGTAGTTAATTTCTTTGTTAATTTTCAATAGATAATTTCTTTGTTATTAACTAATTATTCCATAAGGTTTTTTTCTAGGCTACCACTTGGCATAAGGAGAGGGCTTTATTCTCTCTTTTTAATAATATATAGAAGATATATAGAATATAGAATATTAGAAAGAAACTACTCCACAATTTGAATCAAAAGTTTTTGATTGCTTTATTTTTGTTTTTTTATTTTAAAACAATTATAAACTCCAACTTGAAACTACTCTCCAATTTGAAATGGTAATTTTTATTTTTTTAGTTTCATTTTTTTATTTTAAAACTCCAACTTAAAACTACTCATCGATTTGAATGGGTAGTTTTTCTTCTTCTTTCTTCGTTTTTTTATTATAGTTAATTTTTTTTATTTTAAAATAATTTTAACACTCCAACTTGAAAATACTCCCACCCAATTTGAATGGGTAGTTATTTTTTATATATTTATATTTTCAATTACTAATTATGAGATATCTATATTTATTAATTAAAATAAAGTAACAAATTAATATATATATATATATATATATATATATATTTATTATTTTCATATTTTAGATATTTAAATTCAAATATAATACTAACTAATAACTAATTATTAACTAAAAAACTAATTAGTTACTAATTATGCCATGTGGCTTTTTTATGCTGCCACTTGGCTTAAGGAGAGGGCTTTATCTTCTCCTTTTAATAATATATAGAAGATTAGACATAATAACTAATTTTTAGCATTTTCAATTTTACATAACCGTGTTTAAATTGAAGCTTAATTCTACCAAAAAAAAGAAAGAGAATTCATTTTAAGGCATAAAGTAATTATATATCGTACATTAAGAGCTAAGCAAATAAGAATGTTTTAAAGAATATGATAATATATATTCAAAGTTGTCGATCATTTTAGAAAGAAACAATCTCCACTATATAAGTTATTCTTTTTTGTGCATTGTCTCAATATTAGATGATTAATTTGCAAACTCTTGATAATTGATGATGTAAAAAAGACTCAGAAATTATTTCTAAATTTTATTATAGACCAAATTATAGTCTTATTTGTCTGTGTGTTGAATTGCCTATATCTCATCAATGATGTCCACGGGCTGCGTATGGACCCTATCCCATGTTATATTTGCTGGAATAAAGGAATTTAAAAAGTTACATGATAACAAGGAAAAAAAACATCTATTTATTGAAATGTTCACTAATAATAGTTTGATAAATGCATTTTTACCGTATTTTTATCAAATCATTAGATACATTTTGTCTTTAATTAAACTTGGCTCAATACATATTTTTCTCTCTTGAACTAGCAAATAAATTTCACACTCTTAATTTTGCATATATGACTCATTAGTCACCCAATCTTGTAAAAATTGAAACTTAAACACTTTCTTACACATCATATGGTAAGTGTTAAACAAAAAATTGAAGCACCTCAAAAGTTAACAAAATGCGTAAACCACCTATTTTTATTCCCCAATTTCAACGATTAAATTCTTCACTTTCCTTTCTTTACTATTAACCAATTTTTCTTCTTTTCATTTTTAATCTTTTCTTCCACAACTAAAAATTGGAGTCATTTTTTCCCTAACCTTCTTCTATCAAAATCAACGTGTGTATCAACTCATTGACTATTCGTTATTTTGTACCGTTTCATTTTATATGACAGAGAGATGGATACCAATAAATTATTGCAGACGACTACTATAATCGAAAAGAGGAGTTAGAAAAATAAAAACGATAAAAAAGATATATATATATATATATATATATATATATATATATATATATATATATATATATATATTAACACACACACTCTGTATGTTATATACAATAATTATACAAGTTTATACACTTTTTTAGCTACCAGATATAAATAGTTTCTGGCGCTGACTAAAAATGATAATACCCATTTCTTTTATTTTGTACCTAGTTGACACAAGTTGCATTTTTTTTTTTGTTCTACAATTAATGGACCCAAAAATTGTGGATTTAAGAGTGTAAGATTTAGGTTCATTAATTTGTCTAAATAAAAAGAAAATCACCCAAAGACAAATAAAATTTCTCTACAAAAAGAAAAGGACAAAAAGAGCAGAGAAAAGAAATAGTGGAGGGGAAGAAGGCGCGTTGACTTTTTTTAGGAATTTTTGAGTGGAAAAAAGAATCTAATAATGGGGGAATGGCATCATCTTCAGGTGGATTTGTCATTATTTTATTTCATAAAGAAAAGAATAACCTTAATAATATCCACGCCCTACTTTTTAGTTTGAAATCATTTAAGGAGTCATTAAAAGCCACTTGTCATTATTATAATTACTAGCATATGGGTTGAGTACTACTTAATTCAATGCACAATTAATGGGGTAAAAGTCCTCCACTTATTTAGTCACTTTCCCCCTTTATCCAAAGTCAACTTAAATTGCTTAATTTTGATCGTATTTTTTCAATTGACGCTCTTACTATGTTGAAAATGTTTTGTTATAAATAGGATCAGTAACAAATAAATCATTGCAGTATTATATTTATAATTGCATAATGGATTCTTCATATCAAAATTTGATTATATAAAAAAAGGCAGCCCGGTGCGCTAAGCTCCCACTATGCGTGGTTCCGGAAAGGCCGGACCACAAGAGTCTATCGTACACAGTCTTACCCTACATTTATGCAAAATTTGATTATATGTTGTATAAATTAAAAATGTTTTTCTTTTAAATTTGATTAAGTTTTATTTATAATAATACCTTCCCTATACTAAAACTTTATCCAACCTAGTATCAGTTATATTAAATAGGATAAATAATTATAATTTTAAATCTGCAAAGTTGGGGTGTAAAACACAATAGTCAAAACAATGCAAACAAAAGGATTCACTAATGCGGTTGATAAACGCAATCAAATGATACGATATACAAAATGCAAGTACGTAATGTGATTTACAATTAGAATGCAATTTACTAATGTCATCAACGGCTGCCATTTAGAAAGCGCAATCATGACATGAAGTGGCAATCAGCGAATGGGATTTATGAAGCAGGGAATACGATTTATAAACCGCAATTACAGACTGCGATTTATAAAGCTCAATCTGCCAATGTATAAGCAATCAACAAGTGCGGTTATAGAGCGTAGTCAGTAAATAGATCAATGGGATTTACAAAATATTTACAAAACGCAATCGCGATTTATAAATCGTTGTCACTTCAACGATTAGAATTATACAGTATAGGACACTAATTAATGGTAATACAGTACCAGTTTCCTAAAGTGTGAAGAAGTGGAAAAACTAAAACCAGTTAACATAGTCAGGTTGTGAGATGGTCCAGACCTGAGCAGATTAGGGAAGCATCAGTCAGAGGAACATGTAATTTTGTTCATACCTTTAGCGAAGGTAATTGGAGGCCGAGGTTTATGTCCTCCTCTGTGTACGTATATATAGTTCTTTTTGAGTTATACAAGTTGGGGTCGAGCCTAACCCCACACCACAATGGTGGACTTTGATGCAAAAAGAAAGAACCTTGAATGAGTGGATTATGAAGATGGAAACATTAATGCGTCCTGCCTTGAATTGAATATATGAAGCAATAAGTAGGTCAGGATTTTGTCAATATATAAGATTTGCATTGAGCAATGAACAGAGAACAGTTATTAGCATTCAGCAACGATTTTCCAAGTTTTTATATCGACTAAAAGACATAGCTTTTGTACACATTTGATGATTGGTAAAGCTGAAATCATCACCTTATATATTGCTAGTTATTAATTCCAGTTAACTAAACTTAGTGCGTTCACGGAAATGAGATACCAACTTGTGCTAATTGGTTGTGATTTTGAGATATTTTTCTCAAAAGGTTTGGTCAAGATGTTTTCGTGAAGGTGGGAAATCAGGAAGAATTAATTGGATAATAATTAATTTCCTTGAACCAAAATAATCATCTTCATTCTTTAGCTTCAAATAATTTTCTCCTGCATTTTAATCTTAAGAATGATTTATTCACTAGGTGAGATGGGTTGGTCAAAGGAAACGTGTAGGACGAACAACTTTGCCAAACTTCCTTATCAATTAAGGTAGGCTTATTCTAGATAATAAGACGCCTATAGATTGCGTATTAGTGTACTACAAATTGTTTTGAACATTTATATAGCTAAGTAGTAGTAACAATTATTATATAGATCATTTTTGTAACAATGAGGATATTATTGACCTAAACTATTAAGGGAGGGTATATTTAGATGATTTTGCATAATTTAGGGTCATTTTGGACCACTTGTTTTAGTTTAAACTCCCTCCGTTTCAATTTAAAATGATGTAGTTTGACTTGACATAAAGTTTAAAGAAAAATGGAAGACTTTTAAATATATGTGGTCCTAAAAGTTTTAAGAGGCAAAAGCTTTGTGGGACCATAACATTTATGTGGCTATAAAAGAGGTAAAATAAAAAGATTAATTAAGTTGTTTCCAAATATATAAATGTGTCATTCTCTTTTAAAGGAACTAATAAAAGAAAAGTGTGTCATTTAAATTGAAACAGAAGAAATACCCTTTTTACATAAATTTGAAACTACGAAGTTATCTTTTTTTTAAACCATAGGCTGTTGTTGGCCACATGTAGGTATCAGTTATACAAATATACAGAAATACGTAGATAGAAAACTGAAAAGGAGAATATTCAAAGTGAAAAATTCCAACTACAATTGAGCAGCCTGTGTGAAAGAATAACCTCGAATATACGCACAGTACGTTGAGAAGATTCTTCCTCTCATTCGCATATTTCTCTATTATGCTTTTCCTTCCTTCCTTCCTTAAACAGGCTGAACATTTCAATTTTTTGTTTAGCCGCAACATTGCCACATATATCCATTTTTCCAGGTTCTTAATTTCTCTTCTCCCAGCTTTTAGATTCTGATTTTGTTTAAATTTTAGGCTCCCCGGCCTCCCATTTTGTACAACAGCATATATAGGCAAAGTAACTACGTTGCTTCTTTTCTTTCTCTCCCTCCTTTTACAGGTCTGAAGAAAGTCTAAAGATTTTCAATATGGAACTGATAAAGTTAACGTTGCATGGATGAAAATTTGCAGATTTTTAGTTACTAAATTGACCAGAAACAACATGGCTTCTCTTAGGAGTTGAAGATAGTTTAGAACTACAGAAGCATGCTTTTGAGTTTCTATATATTTACATTCTGGTTTAACTACATAAATTAGTGCTATTTCTATACTCTTAAAGAGTGAAAGTTTTCAGCTTTGCTTTTTACTGATGAAATAAGTCTAGTGTAACGACCAAGGATTAAAGAAGAAGAGAGAAATCACTCGGAAATTAAATTATTGTGACAAACAGTTCCATATATGTTGATTATACTTTGGACTTGGAGGGGTACTGTCTCAGTTACTACCATGACTTTGGGTTGAGTTCCCTTATATATCCCTTCACTTGAATTAGTATGTTACATTACTTGGCTAGCTAGATTTGGCATATCGGAATTCATAAAATTAATGTGCTGATAGCCAACATATCTATATATATATATGCAGTAATTATATCACAGACTAATAGGAAAGCGAATACCTGCAGATGATATTTGTTGCAATTTAGAGTTCAAGATGTTGTTTATGGCCCTGAATTTCGCTAAATTCAATAATAAAGGGCAATTAATGAATTCATAATATAGCCATGGGATGCAACAATATAATTTTTCTTGAGATAGCCTGAATTTGCATCAACCTGTGACCTTTACCATATATTTATTCAAATATGGAACAACTGTTCTATTGCCTTGTATTGAAGGTGGTATCTGTGTCTGTCAAATTCAGTTCACTGATTGCCAAATGAGTTCATTCACGCCCAGTAAAGCCTTAGAAGGTGTGCACGGAGTGCATTTGGTACCTCATTCACCCTTCGCAATGGAAGAGATGAGACACGAGGACTTCCATGGATCAAGTCAACAGCTAATAGTTCAGTAAGTTGAAGATGTCTTGACCTTTAGTCATTGTAGAAATTCAAATGCTTATCTATCTTCTATAAGTAACAAGGTTATATATTCACTTGTCAGTTTTTCTGGACGTTTTTTGCCAGTTTTCTAGTAGTGATTTGTATGTTAACTTGTTCACCAGGAGAGTTTGGCAGCAAAGGCCAGCTTGTCTGAGGCCCATCCGTTGTACTCTCCATGGTAAACAACTTTTTACTTAAAATTAGCTACGTATATAATTAATTCGTCCTCCGATCCTCTTACATGTTTTTAAAATTTCTCTTCTTTTTTAGGTGATAGGAACCTTGCAGAAACTATTGCTAATGTGATCACTTCTCTTCCTTTTATTGCTCTTGGACTTCAGGCTCCAAGGTCGGTAGATTTATAAAATCTGTTAGCTTTCATGATCTGTATAAAGGTTCTTCGTCCATTGATGCAGGAAGAATCTCAACTGTAAAATCTATGCCAATTCATTGATTGGAGTGGGAATTGCCTCAAGTTTGTACCATGCTTCAAGAGGGAAAGTAAAACAGTATCTGAGATGGGCTGACTACACTATGATAGCAACAACTACACTAGTGAGTCTCAAGCAATTCTTGATTAGGTTTTAAAATATTTTCAAGGTTTTAATGTTGATAAGATACTCCAAGATCAATTTCACTTTCAATTATATATCTCTAATGTGCTTTCTGATTATTTACATGCTTAACAATGTCTTGCACGATATGAATAGTTGTTTTTTTAATTTCAGTGTCTATCAAGAGCACTTAGGAAAAAGAATCCGAAGTTTTTGATGGCAGCATCTGCTTTCCTACTACCGGTCCAGCCTCTGATGGTTTCTGCTGTACACACTGGAATGATGGAGGTCGGTATCTACATCTTCAATGTGTAGCCTACTCTTATTATCTAAGGTGCATATATAGTATATGATTGTTCTGTTCACGCGATCTTTGTTTAGGTTGCTTTCGCAAAAAGAGCATTGAAAGATCCAGATCTGAGGATGGCTCACAATGTGCATAAAATGTCATCATTGCTCGGCGGTGCTCTTTTCATTGCTGATGATTTCTTACCTGAAACACCATTTCTACATGCTGGTTGGCATCTTGCTGCTGCTGTTGGGGTCAGCACTTGCAATAAGCTCCTTCAATAGGTTGATATGATTTTCAACCTTTAGTCTAAGCAAATTTGAGTCTATCGGAAACAGCCTCTCTGTCCTTCCAGGGGTAGGGTAAGGCTGCATACATCTTACCCCGGGAAACTATTGGGTTTGTTGTTGTTGTAGTCCAGCCAAATTTGTCGAAATCACTTCCCATTGCCTACAAAGGAGTAAGAAAGCAGACAACTTCAATCTTGAATGCAATAATCATGTATTTATAGGATTAAAAGGGCAGTAGTAATTAGCTGAACAACATTTATATACAATAAAATTTCAGGCAATGTATGTATGATGAACGCGATGGTAAAATATATGTTGTATTTGATTTTCTTCATTTTTCTGTATATATCTTCGGAATTTTGAACTACCAAAACCTAACTTCTGCCAAAATCTATGAGGTTATGCTCTTTCGGGTACGAAGAAGTAGGAGGAGGAAGAGGAAGATCAGTTGGTTCAAGAACAAATAGATCACTGCATTATTATTTTTATAACCAAATAGTCGATTCTTCAAATCAAAATTTGACTATATGTTGTATGAATTAAAAATATTTTTCTTTTAGATTGGATTAAATTTTATTTCTAATAGTACCCTATGCGAAAACTTTATCCAACCTAGTATCAGTCAAAACAATACAAGCAAAACGAATCAGTAAATGCGATTTATAAATGCAATCAGTGAACGAGATTAAAAATAAAATTAGCGAATGCAATTTATAAAGCACAACAGCTATAATAAACTGCAGTCAGTTCATGCGATTTATAAAGCATGCAACCAGTACAGCGATTTAAAAATGTGATTTACAAAACACAAACCACCATGATACACAAATTACACAGTAAGCGCAACAAACAATCTAGTTCAATGCCACGTCAGCTTGGTAGTTAAAAGTTAGTTAGAGGGAGTTAAAAGTTAGTTAGAGGTCAGCTGAGATTCACTACTAGAAATTAGGTGATTTTCGTCCATAATTTCCGACCGAAATACGACCAACTAGAATTTAAAACAACCAAAACAGTCCTAAAAAATATCATCCATGATCATATAATTCTAAAAAGTTAATACTATATTTGTGATAATATCTCATTACAAACTCCATAAATTAAAATACATAAATAAAATAAAATCTATCCGAAATGAAAGTCTAATTGGAATACAAGAATAATTGTAATGTAGTAACTTTGTCTAATAAATTTACCCCAGAAGAATTTCCACATTCATGTACCTGTGAAACAAGAGTCATAATTTTAATCATACTTTCTGATATCACGATCCAGGAAAAAAAATTAAACGTTAATCATAAAATATATATTTTAATCAGTAAGATGTATGTATTCTACATCGTTAACCTATGTATTCTACGTCTTCGGTCTTTTATGTAGACGTCAGACGTCAGTAATGGGCCAACAGTAAACATGGAAAGAAATTGCTCAAGGATCAAAGCTGAAAAATCAACAGAACAGAGACATGGTTTGAAATACCCAAGCGCAACCTATAATTGAGGAGACCAAATATACTCTACCAGTTTCATACATTTTCAACTTCATTAACCTATGTATTCTTCGTCTTGTGTTTTCTATGTAGCAGACGGTAATAGACCAATTAAGAACCAAAATTAATAATGAAACTCCTGCAACTTATTTTAACGCAGTATCAGACACCAGACTCTTATCTCAACCCAAAAGAGTGTAAAAAGAGATCAAGCAATCTAGTTGTTGCAAAGCATTAAATTACTACCTGAGCAGGGCCTATTTCATATGAGTGAGTTTCTTTATCTTCAGTTGCAGCTGCCATACCTGCTTCATTTATGAACTCATCATGTCCACCTTCAATTTACTGATGGATTTGCTTACATTAAACCCATCCCATCTAGGCATCCCCTCGTTTATAACTAACCAATAAAGAGAATATGATTTTATTTGGTAGCATGAGTCAACAGTTAGCAATTTGTAGCAGAAAAGCAAAAATCAGTGACGAAGTTATGGGCTTCAACTTTTTTCATGATTCTACCTCACAAATATGAAACAATGCATAAGAACTTCTTGATACTCAAAACAGAATGTAAAATAAGTCCAACACATTAAACACATACCTCAAGTGAAATCCTAGTCTTAGCTATGATTTCACCACTGAAAGATATCATTATGTAATGTAAAAGCAAACATACAGTGAAGCTACTTTTTATAAGTAGCCGGAGAAGTAAAAGGTCAACGTACACTGTTAAATTCAACCTTTCTCAAAGTGAACAAATAACTAGATTATACCTATTTTCATATTCAAACAGTAACATCAAAAATAAAAATCTCATTTCCAAAAAAATAAAATGACGAGAATTTTTCGAAAGAAAATAAGACACATACCTTGAAGAATCTCAAAAATTCAAAAATGAAATGTCTCAAAGAAGTAAAAAAATTAGATGAGCCTGGGTATTCTCAGTCAAAAATAATAAACAAAAAATTATAATGAACAATTCCAGATTACAGAGATAGATACCTCCGATGGTATAGTTGTACTCTCAAATCTGTTAAATGCCGCAAAATCTGGTCGAAAAAAATACAAATCAGAAGAATAGAAAAAAGGATTGCACTATCAGATGACTACAATTTTTAGAAAAATTAAGACATACAGTTAGGGTTTGAAGCTCTAGAAAAATCTTATCCAGAAGACGTTTTTGCCTAATCTCTTCGCTGCTCCGTTTTGACGAATTTGCTCCGATTGAAAACAAACACAATGTTAGTACCCATATTTTACTGAGAAAGAAAAAAACAAAATTCATCGTCGACCTAAGAGAAATCAAATCTCTACCGCTTTCCATTCCGAAGAGCTATCAGGTTGTCGGCGAGGGATATTCCCGGTATATCCCCGCCGTTAAGGCATCGAAGACGTGGAGGAGTCCCAACTAGCTGGGTTAAGGTGTATTAGGAGAGAGACAGCTGTAGCAAACTAGGATATTTTAGCATCCTTGAAGGAGTCCCAAGTAGCTGGATTAAGGTATATTTGGGAAATTTTTGGAAATAGGAGGGAGAAATTACCCCGTCTGCTTTTGGAGCCAAAAAGAAAGAAATTTTAGGCAACACAACCAAACAAGTTAGTTGAGAAAATTAATTTTTTTTAATAACAAAAATATTTTTATAAAATTGCTAAAATCTCTATATTAGATATGTGCAAAAATACTTTAATTGGTATGATGAAAATAACGAAAATCCAAGTGCTTAGTTTTGTTAGTATTATTTACATCCTTTCAAAATTTAAATTATCTCAAATAAAATGACAAAACAAAAATTATATGTATTTAATTATAAAACTTACATATCTAAGTGCTACTACTGCCCTATTCTTTATAATTGTCAATTTTTTCCATCCACAATAAAATCAACAACCTCAATATATATCTATATATATATATATATATATATATATATATATATATAGATAGATAGATAGATAGATAGATGTATATATGGTATAGTATAAGGCAAAATACATAACTGGACCCTTAAACTTGGCCTTTTTTGTCACTTGAACACCTAAACATACAGTTGTTCCTATCAGGCCCTTCAACTAAACCACATCTGTGCCAATTAGACATTTTGTAGTGACATGATTAAGTGCGTGGGAAAGGGCGCGTGAACATGAGAAAAAGGTTATTGGTTATTATTATTATTATTATTATTATTATTATTATTATTATTATTATTATTATTATTAGTAGTATTATTATTATATTTTAATATATTATTTCAATTAAAGCTAACTTTTATCCTACATTCTATTATTTCATTTGGCATGCTTGTTCTCTTTAAACGACACTTGTAAGCTACACCAACTCTCTGTTTTAAAAGGCAGAATTGGGACTCGCCCGGGACTCGCCCTGGAGCGGGACACTCGTAAAACGCCCCTGGGCTTATGTGTGGGGCTTAGTTCCGTGAGACTTACGCCTCGGCCGTCGAGGCTTACGCCTCGGACACGCCCAACGCCCAGCGTACTGGGCGCGCCTAATAAAACTTTATGCAATTGTGTGTAACTAACCTTGAAAATCCTCAAACTTTCTTAACAAATCATTAAGTATTTAAAATTACTTTTTTCTTAATCATAAATCATTAAGTTGAGAGTATTTTATGTCATAATAAAAAGAAAAAATATTGCACGTTATAGACTAAGATTGCTATGATAGTAAATTCTAAATAAATCTTTCATTTAAAAGTACTTATTTATTAACTTTATATTAGTCCATAATTTTTTTTATAATTATTTTCCTAAATATTGTTTTTCATGTTTACGAGATACAATACTTATTAATTTAATAGCACAATATTTGCTAGTAACTATTTACAAATAATTAGTTATCATGATATAGTATGGTGAATTATGTTCCACTTTATTAACTTGTTGAAACTTAAAAATAAATGATGCAAGAGAATCATATTTAAATTGTGAATTATCTTTTTATATAAATTCTCTTTCAAATAGAAAGCATATTATTAAATAAAAGGAGCATTTAAAAAATATCAAATTATAATATCGAAATTCTTTCAAAATTCATTACTCCTTAAGTGATTCATATACGATTTCACAGCGAATACATTACTTTTGATGTTTGAGTTGTAACGACGTTGCAGCTAATTTGAATATTTGATATATGTCATACTTTTTGTATTATTCATAGTTGAATTATAATTTATGAATATTTTAAATAGATTATTTGTTATAATTTTGTGATTTTAATGTAATTTTTATAATCATTTCTTATTTTATATTATCTTGAAATTAGTAAATTTAAAGATCCGTGGGACTTACGCCCCATGTCTCAGGGCTTACGCCTCGCCTCGTCAGAGGTAAAACGCCTCGCCTCACGCCCCCGCCTTTTAAAACATTGGTCCCACTAGTTTATATTAGGTTCCAGTTGATAGATTGATTTTAAAACGCGAAACAGCAACTCCAATGTATAAGAACACTCTAATTGAATAATTTTGCCCCCTTCTCTTACAGAGATTCAAAAGTTATTCTGTATTAGTAAATACATATCTATATAATCTTTTTAAATAAAACAACAATCGTCTATTTTTTAAATTAACCGTTTGTGTCATTTGAAGCGAAAAGCGTGCAAACTGTTAAGACAAAAATATATTCTAGGTATCATGTTGGAGAAGAGGTTAGCTGAAAATGAGCTGTTATTCTGATTCTAGTTAGATTGTACTTACACAGCCACTGCATCTAGCATGAATTGATCTGCTTCTGACTGTGTTAAGTTTCCTTGCAATCTAGGCAACTCAGCTCTTATTTCATCATACTGTGGATGTGAATGATCACTAGAAGAGAACACATGGATATCGTTTATAAGCTCTAACCAGCTCAGACCAGGATCTTTTTCCAACATCAATTCCCTTATCTTTCTCCTGATATCTGAAACACCACCCCACCTACCAGTTGAAGCAAAAAAGTTTGACAACAATACATTTGATGCACTGTCTTCTGCATCCATCCTCAAAACCTGCTTTGCGACACGTATACCTATGCTCCGGTTTCCTTTACTTACGCAAGAACTCAGTAAGATTTTCCATAGTTGAAGACATTCATCACCAAAAGGTGATTCCATTATAACATTCTCAGCCTCCTCTAGAAATCCAGCTCGACTCAACAAAGTGATCATGCAAGAATAATGCTTAAGGCTTGGTTCTAAACCAATACCTTTCATGTAATTCCAGAAGAATATACCCTCGTTGACCAATCCACCGTGGCTACAGGCCGCAAGCAGAGAGATAAATGTTACAGGATCTGGTTTTAGGCCATGTTGTAAAATATCATTGAACACCTTAAATGCATCCTCTGCCTTCCCATGGTAACCATATCCTCCGAGAATTGAGTTCCAGCATTTTAGATTAGGCGTGGTTACACAGGAAAACGTAAGCTCTGCAGCTGCAAGGTTTCCTATTTTAGCATACATATCAACCAAACTCCCACAAACGGTCATCTCAGCTATATAGCCTGTTTTGATAGCCAGGGAATGAATCATTTCACCCTGCTTCATACTTGCCGCTTCAGCACACACGCTTAAGGCACTGCTAAGAGTAAATTCATCAACCTTGTGGTCTTCCTGTAACATTCCATGGAAAAACCTAATAGAGCTCTCAGCATTACCATTCCTACAATGTCCAGCAATCATCTCAGTCCACAGGACAACATCCTTCTCCAGGATGCTAATGAAAATCCTTTGAGCAGACTCAACTTCCCCATAGTAAAAGTACATCAATATCAGTGTGCTTGCAATGTATACACTTTGACCGAGCCCCACCTTCTCAACTTGGCCGTGGAGTGGTTTCCCATAATCAGCTGCTGGAAATGCTCTTGTAGCAGAAATTGCAGCTGCAAATGTATACTCGTCAGGTGTGAAAAGGGATGATTGCCGAAATTGGACAAACATAGCCATTGCCATCTCTCCATCTCCATTGTTTGCATATCCAGAAATCATTGAATACCAAGATACCAGATCTGGTTTCTTTATTTTTCCGAAGACTTTCAAAGCTGCTTCATTATCACCACAACTAGAATACATGTCGAGCAGCGCATTGTACAAGGGCAAATCTGGTGCAATCCCGGAAACAATTACTTTACCATGAGTTGCTTCCCCTGCAAGACCATCTCTCAACCTGCTACAAGCACTCAACAGCGTTGTATAAGTGAAATTTGTCAGATTAACTCGAGCAGTCAACATGCTGTCAAATAGCTGAAGGCCTTCCATGGTCCTACCATTTTCCAAATATCCAAAAAATATGGTATTCCAAGCCACAGAATCTTTATCTTGCATGGAGCAAAAAACTTTCTCAGCACAATCCAGGAAGCCACAACTTGAGTACATCCCAAGTATAGAGGTTTGAACACACACATCATACAAAAATCCAAACTTTATACATTGGGAATGAAGCACAGAACCTAGTACCTGATTCTTGAGGCCTGAACATGCATGTAAAAGGCTCGTAAAAGTTAACCCATTTGGCCTTAGGTTCTCACTTTGCAATTCAGCAAATAGACGGAAAGCCAAATGGGCAAGATGGGGTTTTCGAGAATAGGCAGAAATGAGGGCGTTGAAAGAGACGATGTTTCTGTCAGGCATTTTGTCGAACAGGATATGTGAGTCTTGGATGGACTCACATCGGGCATACATGGAGAGAATGTTGTTGAAGACATAAGGAGATTTTGAGGTGGCGGGTATAGAAGTGAGGATGAGGGCATGGAGTTGGCGTGCTTTGGTTGCTGATGTTATAGAGGCGCACTTATTGAGGAGAAGTGCTGCAATAGAAGAGGCCTCATTCAAGTTCAATGGTGGCATAAGTTGGTAGCTCTCGTCACTCCATTGAAGCAATTTGGAGTAGGGATTATGAGATTGAACTATCCAACATTTCCTTGTGGCATACTGTCCGTCTGGGACTCTTACTGTCACCAAAGTGAACAAATCTAATCTAAATTTGTAATCCTTAGAAATGTACAATGTCTTAAAGGTTCATTCTAGTTTAATTTTATACAAATTTTAAATCTGGCGCAATTATTTTCTTTTATCCAACTTGAGAATATAAAACTAAATCAAAGAGTATTACAGCATATTTGGTCAAGCTTCTATGGTCATTGTTTGCTCAAAAGTTATCACATACTTTATGAGTATAAAACAATATAAATAAATCACGGAAAAATCATAGCAAACCGTAATAATCCATTGGACCAAAGGAAGGAAACGAAAATAAATACTCAGAGTTAAGAGGAGAAACATTAAAAGCCTTTATTGATAGTGTTGATTTGGTCTGCCTCCCATGAAGAGGTTCAGCCCCTTACAATGATGTTCCCCTTTCCCATAATATGTGTCTCGTTATATCTTTCTCTCTCTCTCCTCCACAGTCAGGAAGAAGCCCCCCCTTACTAGGGCTTCCTCTCTTGGTATTTATAGCTGTGAGCTTCGTGAGCTGGCAATAAGTGGCCGTGACCACGTTGGGGTTTCGCCTTCATGATGACGGACGGGCCGTGGCCTTGTTGATCGAATCAGATAAGGGTTGGACACCGTTAATTCTGAGTGGTCATACCACTAATCAATCATGAGTTAGCTTAAGACGGGATTACCTTCGTTAATTATCGTGGGGTCGGATTCTGACCCATACAGTTAGTCCCTCCGCTTATTGAGGTCGTGCCTTGGCCGATCTCGATGAGTGGATTTCATCGACGATAGTTTGAGAAACTCGGATAGGGAGGTCGACTATCTCTTGGCGAAGGCACTTGACCCTTTAACTTAATTCGAGTGAGGTCGAGCTTTGTTGTGCTCTGATCCTTACGTTTGTTTGGGAGCATACCCGTCGACCATGGCGGACAGATCGTATGTTGTGCAGCCGAGGGGAGTAAGGGCACGCTCAATACGTGTTTTGGCGACGTCCAAAATTTTGAGGGCGCGCGGAACATCTCCTCAGCGTTCATAGGTCGTTACAACCATTTCGAGGGCGAGACGCCAGTTGGCGACTGAAAAGCTGCTTCATGGAGCTTGTCATAATGACGCACGTTTCTGTAGAATCGAACCGGTGTGCGGTTGGTCATGTAGTTAATGGTGGCTATTGGGGTTCATGAAAGCCACTTGCGTTGCCTATAAATAAAGGCTGAGGCATTCATTTTTTATATTCTCATTGTTTATCTGAGAGAGATTCTGAAGAAGCTTTTCTTCCTGCTAATTTACCTTCATCTTTGTTCTTCGATTGACATAACTTCCGTCTTCGTCCCTCAAACTTTGTTTCTTTCTCGTTATCGAATCAACAATGGCAGGCAGTTCTTCCCAAAATGTTCTTCCGACGGATCTTCCGGTTAACTCTCCGGTGGCTGAAGAGCCATCTCCGGCAATGGGCGGTGCAGAACTGGTGGAGACCGATGAAGCTCCATCGGTTGACGAGATAGTATATCTGCCCGGAGGTCCGATGACTGATTTCACCGCTGATGGTGGGGAGGATCAGGTGGATGAAGCCCCATTAATGGGGGAGATTGGGATGTCCCAACTACGGGGACATGGGGATCATCCCCAGCTATGCTGACGTCATTCTCGCTAGAAGCGAGGAGAGGGTCCACACCGACCGTAGGGGATACTGCGTCTTTTACGCCTATCCCTTCAAGTTGGGGTTTAAGCTCCCGCTTCCAATGCTAGTGGTTGATTTCTGTCGTTACTACGGGGTATGCCCGGGTCAGCTTGCTCCTTCTCTTTACAAATTATTAGCAATGCTTATCAAATATGCAGAACTAGCCGGTAGGGAGGTCACGCTGCAGCATGTGCTTAGCCTCTACGCTCCCCAGAGAGTTCGTGGTACCATGATTCGAGCGTGCCCTCGAGGGACGAGGGGCCTGACTGTGAAGCTGGATGATGAGGTCGACCCTCGCCCTTTCGAGCACTTCTTCTATATCAGGACTGAACATTTAGTGGCGTGCTCTACTGGATTCCCAGAGGCTTGGAATCATGCACGTAAGTTCCTTAATCATTGAATTCCCTTTTCTGCCCCTCCTTACGTCTTGTGCTCATAAACGTTAACTCGTATCAATTTTGTAGCCGAAAAGTCGCCGCCGGCTCCGTTGGCTGGGATTCGTGAGTGGGTTGAGGCCGTGCTCCCCCATACGGTGGGGATACGCACATGGGCGTCTTTCTGGGAGAGGCATGGCCGTAGACCTGTGGCAGGTAAAAAATTGATTTCTTCTTCTGTTCCGCTTTGTTTCAACTCTATTCACCAACTTTGTTTTTCTGTGATCAGGGAGGGCACGCCGCGTCAGGGCCCCTCAGTTGGCCTTCCGTCGGCCGAGTGCAATCGCTCGACTTACTGCGGCGCCGGTGTCGCGCTCAATACCGAGGGCGGCATCAGTTGAATCTTCAGCGGTTCCTTCTCCAGCACGGGCCGCACTTCGGGACGAGGGGCCATCGGGGGTTGTGCGCCCTAGGGCGGAATCGCCATCAGACGGGGAAGAGGAGAGGCCATTGATAAGGCGTATGGTCGTGTTCACACCGGCTCCTCCTGTGGTAATTAATTTGGACTCTCCTCCGACGGATGCGGAGAGGGGTGCGGTCGCGGTGCCTGCTCTTAAGGGTGAACAGTCAATGGGGGTTGCCCTGGTTGGCTTAGGCCATGATGATGCCGTCGCTTCGGCGACCCAGTTGGAGGTTCCAGTCGCTGAGACGGGAGGTAGTTCCTCAGCGGCTGCTAAGGTTGGTGAGGCAAGCGCTCCTTCGGTGGCTACGGCGGGGGGTTCTACCTCGCTGGTGGT